TCCCTATACAGGCCTGCCTTCCGATGTCTTCTAAATATTGTCTAGTTACTTATCTCCTTGGCTCAGGGGTTGCTTAACTCCATACTCTCCAACATTTCTCTGACGAAAATTGGGGCATCCTAAGGAAAAGCAGGACATTCTAGGTTGTTTTTTTTTGTTTTTTTGTTTTTTAAATCCTGTGTAAAAGCTGGTGGTTACCATTTGCATGTTAACAGTGGCGTAGCGTGGGGGGTGCAGGGGGGGCCGGCCGCACCGGGCGCAACATCTGGGGTTAGGGCAAATCCATGGGTTAGGGGACGCAAATCCACAGGTTAGGGGGCGCAAATCCACGGGTTAGGGGGCACAAATTACTTGTCTTGCCCCGGGTGCTGACAACCCACACTACGCCGCTGCATGTTAACATAGTTTTTTGGGGGGCTCATGGTTTCTGATGCTGGCGAACTGCAAAGAGGGTGCCGGTGTCGGGTCTGAAAGCATAGGCTGTCTCTGTCCCCTTCCAAACATTTGCCAAAGCAATAAGATCACATTTCAAACACAAGAAAATAGGTAGCTGTCTCCCTTGCATTAACGTTGGGAACAACAATAGCAGCTGCCGTTGCAAAGCCTTCCTGTTTGGGGACATCGAAGGTGTTTCTGGTTTCAGTCAAAATAGCAAGTGGTTTGATATCTTTTTTCAAAAAAGAAGAAAGCCCATAATGTTTATTATTTTTCTGGGCCTGCTTGCATCTTGCCGCCATGTGATTTCAGACTCGCCCGTGCCCTGCTTTGAACTGTGTGATAATGAAAAGCAGGACACACCCGCAGCTCACACGTTGGAGCTCTTCCTATGATGCACACCCTGGCTCTGATCCAGCTCTTCTAATGCCTGCAGAGACGTAAAAGATTGCTCTGTGTTAAAGTCACTTGGCAGTAAACTTGTTCCGCTGATGAAACGTGCTTTGAACCAGCGGGAAATGGTTGCTGGTAACTGTTGCAAATGTTGCGCTGGATTCCTCAAAGCTGTGCAATGCTTTGAGAACTCATCCTTGCGCTAACGGACGGACAGAGGATATTGGATGCAGCTCAGTGCCTGCTTAAGAACATTAAAAAGAGCCTGCTGGATGAGGCCAGTGGCCCACCTGGTCCAGCATCCTGTTCTCACAATGACCAACCAGATGCTGGTTGCAAACCTTCAAGCAGGACCCCAGCACAAGAGCTTTCTCCCCTTCTGTGGCTTCCAGAAACTGGCACTCAGAAGCATTGCTGCCTCTTGTCCTGAATGGGGTAACTGTGTCCCTGAAGGAGCAGGTGCGCAGCCTGGGAGTCATTTTGGACTCACAGCTGTCTATGGAGGCACAGGTTAATTCTGTGTCCAGGGCAGCTGTCTACCAGCTCCACCTGGTACGCAGACTGAGACCCTACCTGCCTGCGGACTGTCTTGCCAGAGTGGTGCATGCTCTAGTTATCTCCCACTTGGACTACTGCAATGCGCTCTACGTGGGGCTACCTTTGAAGGTGACCCGGAAACTGCAATTAATCCAGAATGCGGCAGCTAGACTGGTGGCTGCCGGGACCACATAACACCAGTTCTGAGAGATCTGCATTGGCTCCCAGTACGTTTCTGATCACAATTCAAAGTGTTGGTGATGACCTTTAAAGCCCTAAACGGCCTAGGTCCTGTATACCTGAAGGAGCGTCTCCACTCCCATCGTTCTGCCCAGACACTGAGATCCAGCACTGAGGGCCTTCTGGCGGTTCCCTCATTGCGAGAAGTGAGGTTACAGGGAACCAGACAGAGGGCCTTCTCGGTAGTGGCACCCACCCCATGGAACGCCCTCCCTTCAGATGTGAAGGAAATAAGCAGCTATCCTATCTTTAAAAGACATCTGAAGGCAGCCCTGTTCAGGGAAGTTTTTCATATTTAACTCTGTATTGTTTTTAACACTTGATTGGGAGCCGCCCAGAGTGGCTGGGGAAACTCAGCCAGATGGGCGGGGTATAAATAATTATTACTGACAGTGGACACGGAGCATAGCCATTGTGGCTAGTAGCCACTGACAAGCCTCCTCCTCCACGAATTTGCCGAAACAGGGTTGGGGATGGGGGACCTGCAGGAACTGCGAGGGCCAGGTGGGTTTGGTTGAGGACCAGAGGGAGAGGATGGAGGGTCTGACAGGGGTAGGGGGTGGGCAAGGTTGGCAAGCAACAGGGGTTGCCATGAGCAGGGGTCACAGCCCCTCGACTTGGGAAGCAGCTGCCTTGAGACCTAATATGTGTGCCCTCTGGAGCATGTTATTATAATAAGGAAAGTTATAGATAGGATGGAATGCTGAGAAACTAATTTTCTTTGCTTTTCTCTTCCCAGTAAAATTCACAGAATTGGAATTATTCTTTTCAGGGCACCATACTGCATTATAAATCTCAGATGAAGGCTCTGGAAAACTTGGGGAGTGATAGCTCCTATCCTATCCAAATAGCTGTAGAGACTGCATTGCGCAGTAAAGTCAGAGAGTTGAGGGAAAGTATCCCTGGGCCATTCTAGTTGATGGGAGGGATAAACCCTTGGCAAGCAATTGGTTCATCCCCCCCCCCCCCAAGTTCTCTAGGGCAGTACAGTGGTACCTCGGGTTAAGTACTTAATTCGTTCCAGAGGTCCATACTTAACCTGAAACTGTTCTTTACCTGAAGCACCACTTTAGGTAATGGGGCCTCCTGCTGCTGCCGTGCCGCCGGAGCACGATTTCTGTTCTCATCCTGAAGCAAAGTTCTTAACCTGAAGCACTATTTCTGGGTTAGCCGAGTGTGTAACCTGAAGCGTATGCAACCTGAGGTACCACTGTATCTTTCTTTTCTTTTTAGAGGAGAAGGGTTAAGCAATCCTTTTGGAGGTTTTTCTCGAGAAACTTTAGGAAAGCCAAGTATTAAGAGAGCATGCAACACAGCCCTCCATGCCAGTGGCTGCTCCCCCACTCAAGCAAATTATCCTTGTGAAAAGGGTGGGGAAAGACAACTGGAAGTACAGTCGCACCTTGGTTTTTGAACAGCTTAGTTCTCAAACGTTTTGGCTCCCGAATGCCACAAACCCAGAAGTGACTGTTCCGGTTTTGGAAGCCAAACATCTGACGGGGCTTCCGATTGGCTGCAGAAGCTTCCCGCAGCCAATCAGAAGCCGTGCTTAGGTTTCCAAACATTTTGGAAGTCGAACGGACTTCCAGAACGGATTTCGTTCGACTTCCAAGGTACGACTGTATCAGGAAAATCTCCTGCAAACAAGAGGTTGTAGAGGCTTTATCCTGGACCTGAAAGCAGGCTTTGGCAACTTGGCACCCTTGTGAGGTTTTGGACTACAATGCCCCATCAGCCCCTGCAAAGCACAGTTGTGCTGCACTAAAAGGATTCGGGAGGAGTCAGAACATTTATGCAGCCCAGGTAAGTTGAAATTTTCCCCAATTATAATACTAGTGTTTCTGAATTTCATTCCGACTAGTGGGCGTGGCGTGGCACAACTATGAACATTATCCCCCAGCCTTTCAGCACATGCCTGCTTCCTTTAAAATGGCAGGAAATAACTGTATACCAGGATTATCGCCCCAAAGTTCGTTACTTTCCTCCCGTGATTTTCTGGGTTATGGAGATTGCAACCCCCCCCCAATCAAGTAACGCAGAAATGAGTGCTTTAAGATGCACTGTGCTGCGTTAGTTTTCTGGGAGCAGCTTTTACATGGTGTGACAGCTCAAATAAAGTGGAAATTATCGCTTAAGGAAACGTGGGGGAAATGGAATAAACTGCCGTGTGAATGCAGCCCTGGTCTACTATGATATGCTAGAACAAGGCAATGTTTCACGACTGTGGAATCATAGAATTGTAGTGTTGGAAGAGACCATGAGCGTCATCTAATCATAGCTGTCAAGCGTCCCTTATTTGGCGGGACAGTCCCTTATCCCAGCGCCATGTCCCGCTGCTGTCCCTTATTGATGATGTCCCTTAAATTTCCTGGGTTTCAAAGGAAGCAGCTCCTCTCCCTCCCTCCCTGCCGGCCAGGGAGGAGGGAGGCTCCAACTGTGTTGCTTGGCTGCGTTGCTCACCCAATAAGGAGTCTAAGAACAACTGAGGGGTGGAGCTTGTATGCCTTGTGCCGATCAAATCGGCCGCGTTGCCTGGGGACTCGCCTTTGCTCAGCACTTCCCAGCGGAGAGGTGATGGTGGTTTTCCTTGCTGCATCCCCTTTGCCAGGTTGCTGCGCTATAGGAACCACCACTTGAGGCTTCGTTTGGCTGCTGGTTGACTAAAATCCCTTATTTTGGCTGCTGAGCCCTTATTTTCGAGGCTGCTGGTCCCTTATTTTCAAATCTGTAAGTTGACAGCTATGCATCTAATCAAACCCGCTGCAATGCAGGGATCTTTTGCCCAACGCGGGGCTCAAACCCACAGCCCTGAGATTAAGAGTCTTGTGCTCTACAATCTGAGCTATCCTATCGCCTTGCCCTCCCCCCCCAAAAAAAGAGCACAGTTAACTCAAGATAGGCCAACGAGCAGCTTGAATCACCAGCACGTAAATAGAGCGGCAAAACCCACACGAGTTTCAGTAATTCAATAATTTATTCATCTAAAAAAGTGTGTAAAAGTATATAGCTCTCATCCACAAGGTATATATGAATGACATTTAAAATGGAGGTCTTTATTATTATTGTTTCTTCTTTTTATCAAAGTCTTTTTTTTTTAGTGTATTGTACCAGCGATATACTGTAAGATTTAAAATGAACTTCACGTAGTTCTTTTTTTTTTCTCGTTTTGTTTTGTTTTTGTTTCAAATTGTTGGCTATATATAAAAGAGGCTCACTGCAAAAATGCTCAAGGGGGAAAAAAAGCTCAGAACTCCCCTCCCCTCCCCGCCCCAAGAAATGTACAGCTTTTACACTTAAAAAAGGTTCTGAAATATACATACAAGCATGCTGGACACTCCCTGCACACCCCTTGCCTGCCTCCACCCACCCACCCCCACCCCACTGCGCTCAAACTGTTATAATTCCAATTTCTGCATGATTTCCAAAATTAGAAATTAAAAAAAATAAAATAACTTCTTCACTCTGTAGGAAATCCAGGGCTTGTACATTTCAGATTAATTCAGTAAAAAACTCACAAGTAAAATAATGCATATTTTAAAGGGAAATATTATACAGATTTTCACACTGAAGTACATAAGATTTTTTTCTTTTTAAAATCTATTGCCATTCATTTATTTTGCACAAAAATGTATAAATATGTTACCAGCTTCTATTAACTTAAAAAAATTAAATAAAAACACCACCAGATGAAAACTACTTCTCGCTACCCCCTCCATCCCCTTATTTGTGGGGTAGTGGGGGGGAGGCATTTTAATTTTTGCATTAGAACTGGATCTCTGGGGAAGGAAAGAACCCCCTTGGTAAAAACAGCCCATTAAAAAGAAAAAAGGTAAAAGTAAATCCATCTCTAATTCAAAGTTCAGGTGAATTTTGGGAACAAAGAATCCCAAAAATGGTAAAAGATAACTTTACATAGTTTTCCTCACCAAGGTTTTTTTTTTGTATACAAGTTTACAATCTTCATCTTTTAATGCTCTTCAAAAGGCCTTGAGAATTTTCCTTTCTGATTAAGAAAAAATAGTAATGCAATATTTTTTTAAAATCAATTTTACACTGTATACATTAGATACAAATGGTTTTGATATATCTGATTTTTCCCCCTCCTGTACATTGCAAAGGTCCCCCCTGCCCTGCCCTGCCCCTAGAGCAGAGAATAAAAGCGATCCATTTACAGGGTCTTCCTCTGACCGATCCCTTCACCCATCACGCATGGGATTATTATTATTATTTTTAATAATAAATTTTGTTTTTAAACCTTACACCATCATTTCAAGAAAAATATTCTTTAAAGTCATAGAAATTTTAATTAATTATTATTATTATTATTTTCTTCTTCTCCTTTTTTTTTTTTTAACCAGAACAAGACGGACTTTTGGAAGAACTTCAAAAATGGTATTCTCTCCAAGGACAATGGTCAGCAACCTTGACCACGTCCCCACAATACTTGATTCCTCTTCTTTAAAGCAGCCCAGGCCTGCCCACAGTGCAAAGAGAAACATTAGAAATGGGATCTTTTAACAGCATAGACTTCTCAAATCCTAGAATTAAGGAGTCATAAAAATAATATGATTTGCTTTAAACTTTTTTTTTTAAATGGCAAACATTTTAACTAAACCGATTCATTTTTTTTCCACCTCAGTGGTCTTTCATTTTCAAGTACTAATTTAATGATACAACTTTTAAAAATTATTTCTTTGAAATAATATTTTTCTTCCTATAGACAAATACACCAGATTTGAAACTGATAAGAGTGTAAACAATCTACGTGTGTGTGTGTGTGTGTGTGTGTGTGTGTGTGTGTGTGTGTGTATGCACATATATATCACACATACATACATAACACACACGAATATATGACAGATGAGTCTCTCCCAGTTTATAGGTGACTTGAGCTTCGGGATTAATTTCCACATCCATCAGACTCCTCTCTTAATTAGTATTTCTCCCTTCAATTTGCCTCGACGCTAAAGTGTTTTATTGCCTCCCACTGGTCTGTTGTCCTGCATTTTGCGTTATTGTTCATGTGACTTTATTTAAACCTCGCTAGAGTTCCTTAATCAAAAAAAGTCCACCAAAGATAGTAATAATAATAATAATAAAAATAGTGACTCCTAAAGTTCTTCCTCGAATGCTCTTCCTAACTTGGTTATTTTTGGATTTCCTCCATGGTTTTTACCCCATTTCTCAGTCAGAAGAATGTGAGGTATGTCGATAAATACTTCTTGGCAGAGCATAGCTGGATCAACTACTGTACCTGGTCCTCTATAATTTAACAGCCCCCATTAATAAATTAAAAAACAAACAAAACTCGAAGAGAGCATCTCCAAGACCGTTCGCATCTACATGGACAGGTAACAAATGCATGCATTCAACCCAATCCACTCAGACAGGAATTGCAGGTAGACAGAAATCCCACTATTTTTCTTTTGAAAAGACTACAAGAACTGGTTCTTCATTGCAGCCACGTTCATCCGGCGGTTTTTCAAGGAACAATGTTAAAAGAGTTTTGGGCCACCCAAACTGGTCACGACAACATTTCGCTCGGAAAGGAGGGCACTTGTCTCTTAGGCAAAGAGATCCGTGCGCAACAAAACAGAAAATAACAAAAAAGAAATAACAAAAGGGAAGGACACTGTCTTCTGTGGTCCGTTGTTCCATTAACGTCCCGCCACTGCGTTAACACTGCCCTTGAGGTTGCGGTACATCTCACTGTCTGGTATGCTTGGCAGAAGTCCTGATGTGGCCCACCAGGCACACTCCACAAACACTGGAGAAGCCTCCTGTTATTATTCCTGGAAGATACAAGGCGCTGCTTGGGCCCCAGAGGCTGGGGTCCGACGAGGAGAAGGGCTCCTCAGACCCTCGCGAGCCACGGCCCGTCTTTCTCAGGTTGAAGGGGAAGGTCATCCAGGCGCTTCCGGGTGATTAGAGGATGTTCATGATGGCATTGTATAGCTGTGTGAGCACCACAAAGTGGACAGGAAGGCAGGAGCTGCGGTCCTGAGTTGCGGGGTTGCAAGTGAGCCACGACAGTGCATTGTACTGCTCCAGCACAAACCTGCAGGAGAGGAGAAGGGAAAGAAAGGGGATGGTGGTCAGGACAAGGGGCTCCTTCTGTACCACAACCTGCACTTCCTGAGGCTTCTACTTTAGGGCCTGCTCGGTAGTGGCACCCTCCCTGCCATCAGGTGTCAAGGAAATAAACAACTATCGGACTTTTAGATAGTTTGGGGAAGTTTTTAATGTTTTGATGTTTTGTTGTGTTTCTAATATTCTGTTGGGAGCTTGCCCAGAGTGGCTGGGGAAACCCAGCCAGATGGGTGGGGTATTATATTATTATTATTATTATTATTATTATTATTATTATTATTATTATTATTATTATTTACTGATATATCAATTACTGGCCCTTCACCAGCAGGTCCCAGGGCAGGTTATGACAATCAAAACACAGTATTAATAACTCTTTAATACACAGAAATAAGGTGCAGCAGGCAGAGGGCCTTGTTGGTAGTGGCACCCACCCTGTGGAACACCCTCCCATCAAATGTCAAGGGAAATGAACAACGGTCTGACTTTTAGAAGACATCTGAAGGCAGCCCTGTACAGGGAAGCTTTTTAATGTGTAATGTTTTCTTATGTTTTTATATATGCCCCCCAAAGTGGCTGGGGCAACACAGTCAGATGGACGGGGTATAAATACTATTATTACTACTACTACTACTACTACTACTACTACTACTACTACTATTATTATTATTATTATTATTATTATTATTATTATTATTATGTAAGATGGAGATAGTAGCCAGGTTTCTGCAACATGCAATGAGGATTATGAATGTTATACAACATTAACTTAAGTGTTAGATGCAGATTTTGCTGAGTGATTTTATTGCACTGAACCTTATTGGAATCTTGTATAAATGCCAATAAAGGTTTGAGAATTGAACTGAAAAAAGTATACATCGCAGGAGGTAAGTATGTCTTCTACATTTGACAAGAGCTGTGTTGCAAAGGTGCCAAGCACACCACTGTGGAGAGGGGAATTCTGCAGCCTAGGAGCTCCCACAAAGAATGCTTTATCCCGAGGCACCCTCCCCAGACGTCGGAGGGAGGTGGGACTACCAAGGGCACCCTGCCTGCTGATCTTGACACCTGGGAAAGGTCTGTAAGGAAGGAGGTTTCCCTTTCCTACTGGCTCAATATTTTGAGATCAGCTTGCTGTTCTACTTTTGAAAGACGGAATATTGAGAAGCATAGCCCTGCCTAAAGGGCAGGGTGAAATGTATGCTTCTTTCTCCAAGACACAACTAAATATGGCAAGGCTCTAAGAGGAGATTGTGAGTACCTTCCCTTGGCCACCCAAAAATACAATAGACACTAGCTTTAATAAATAAATGATCTTATCTCTAAGACAGGCATAGGCAAACATGGCCCTCCAGATGTTTTGGGACTACAACTCCCATCATCCCAGACCACTGGTCCTGTTAGCTAGGATGATGGGAGTTGTAATCCCAAAACATCTGGAGGGCCGAGTTTGCCTATGCCTGCTCCAAAGATCTTCAAAATTTCAAGCTTTTCCTATCTAGGATGTTGTCAAATGCTGGTGATGATTCCTCACTGCTCTCTGGCTCAACCTTCCTGGCAGCTAGGCTGGAAATTCCTGCAACAGTGGAGGCTGGCTGGCGAATGGGGTGTTTCCCCGCAAACCTCAATCTGCCCTTTGCTAGCTCTCCAACTATCTGCCTACTTCCTTACAGCCAGTCTAGAGGTGGGCCTGACAGGTTGCAGCGCCTTAGCGAGGCCCTTGTAGGATGCAGCAGGGATGAGGATGGGGCAGAATCTGCTCTGCTTTTCATTGGATCTGCCCACTGTTGCTCTCCCTGCTTTCCATCCCACTAGTCCCGTTGGGCACCAGCCACCATTGTCCTGCAACGATAGGCCAACGGAAAGGAGGGCTGTTTGCACATGCCCCTCCCATAAACGTCTGCAGAACGAGCCAAAAGACATCTTTCAAAGCAGATGAGCAAAGATCAAAGGGCTGGTCAAAGGCCAGCACTTATTTCCGGGGCTTGAAAGGGCGGGGGTGGGTGGGTGGGACGGACACAAAACTCAGTTACCTCAGAACATCAGACGTGGTTTTAGAGTCCAAGGGGTGGGGAACCCTCTGGGAGTTCCGTGCAGGGAGGAGTTCATCCGTATGAGCGACAGAGATGTGGTGGTGCAACGATGCCTGTTTTGGAGGAAAGACAGGTGTCACCATACAGGGCTGCTGCAGTTTCCTTCCAGGTTCATAACCACCACCTGACGACGAGGGAGCAGCTACTCTAAGGTGACCAAAGGGCTTGGGCTAGCGGGGTTCTGCTCTCTCCTCCATCCCCTTGAACCACAACCTTCTCAAAACCTGCCCAAAAGATGCCCATGATAAATACTGGCCAAAGACATTTCCTTCAACTTGGTGGGGGGAAAGCTGGCCAAAGGTTCCTTCAGTCAGAGATCAAGACTGGTTCTTGCTGCTTATGGGGAGGGTGGAGCTATGGAAATTCTGCAAATATGAAAGGGGGGTGAATGCAAGGAAGGTGCCTGAGGAACCACTAACGAAAGCAATTTTGGCCCTCGCTGCCCAACCACATCACATCAGAATCTGTTTTTTGCTGACAAAAGCAGGAACTGCTGCTATCACCATGTTCGGCAAGCCCATATGCATTTCAGTGAGGTGCTTAGTTTGCAGCTGATCTAGGTAAGTATCCTCCCACCCCACCCTGGCCAAGCGCCTCACAGGAAGGCTAGAGGAACCCTTGAGAGCTTTGGTCCCAGTTTTAACAATACCACCAAGCTGAATTATGAACAGCATTCATGAATCTGGTCTGGGGTGGGCATTGTGGGCATTGGGGTAGGAGGGCATTGGGGTAGGAGAGATGGGAAGAAGGCCTGTGAACATTAAAATGAGGTTTCTGGCCATCCTAGAGGGCTTGGACTAGGGAGACAGGCATTTGAATCCATGCTTAGCCATGAAACGTGGACTATGTCTCAGAACGAGGCTCCCCTCTCAGTGCCAGTAAGCGGGGATGCTAGGGATTGAGTCAGGGATCTGAAGTGGAGCATACAACCCAGTTACAATTCCCTGCCCTTCTTCTGTCTGCTTGAGGTACATTCTTACAAAAGAGTAAGAAGCGCTGGCTAAGGTAAGATGGATGTGGTCGTGCCAAAGACGGCAACACAACAATCCCCTGAGTGCATTTTTCTACAGCAAAGGGCACATACAAGACACTTACAAAGGTGGGTCTAAGAACTTATCTATGACCAAGAGTAAAAGAGCTCTACTCAGGTTACAAATGCCACCAGAAGCAATGGCATTCCTTTCAAAAAAAATGTCCAACAAACCTTCAAAAAGAGGGGACACTGATTCTGGGCCTGTGGACAGGATGACCAGAACCACTGAGGGAGGTTCTCAGCTTTGGCAGTAGAGACGAAGTACCCCAGAGCAAGAGGCTGCTGCTTCAGTTCTTCGGGTGCCTCCCGGGAGAGGAGACGTTCTCCTTGGCTCTGGAGAAACGAGAAGTGGGATAGGGGGAGGAAATGCAAAATTAGGCATGAATGACGTATGGAGAAGACAATGGGGTACTCAGCTTCAGTTGGTACAGGAGGCTTATTAAAGGGAGGTGGCAAATTTGACTGCCAGTCTTGTCCTCCCCTCAAATCATGCAAATGTTGTACCTTGTCTCATTTAATATTTTACTGATCCTGTTAAGAAGGGCAAGCATAAGAAACAGAGAGAAAACAAAGAATCAAAAATGTAAATGATAAGGTGGCGTAGGCTGGAAGGACAAAAGTACAAAGATGCAGTGCAGGTCCAATAATAATAAAGTATTGACTAATAAATAACAAGGATATGTATAAATAAAATTATTTTCCACCTGTGAGTTCCATCACTATTGAGAATAAAGATTGTGTGTGTGTGTGTGTGTGTGTGTGTGTGTGTGTGTGAGAGAGAGAGAGAGAGAGAGAGAGAGAGAGAGAGAGACCACATGCCCCAATATTTGTATAAGAAACAAAATCATGCCGTACAGCCAAGTAACAGTAATTTGAGTTCTGCCTATTCAGATACTTTTAGTTTATGAGATCTTTTCAAGGAAGGCAATTTGCCAAACCCTAGAATACCACGCAAATGTTATGTCTTGTTTCAACATACATTTGTATTCCACCGGGCTTCTCTTTGCTCTCTGAGCATGACAATTTCCGATCAACATTTGTGTTGATCAGTTGGGTTGAAATATGGAGGGATGCAGGAGCTAACAACTTCCATCAAATCAATCAACGTTCAATGCAAAACTGGTCTACAAGTCACACTGTTCATATTGGGTTACTTCCAGTATCATGTGGAATATGCTGCTATATGTATTGCATATCACACAGCATATTGATGGCAGAGTTTCTGCATTGATTCTGGTAATTAAAGACACTTAGATCAAACTGTGGCGTGATGCATGATTGTCTTAGCTTACATTTCAATGGTATAGTGCAGTCATTCTCAAACTTTCTTTCCCAGAGACCACCTGAAATTGCTGAGGGTCTTGGCAGAACACTTGATGATTTTTCTGCCAGTTGTAGCAATTGTAAGGTGCTGTGCTAGATGCTAAATGGCAGGGATGTCAACAACTTTGATTAAGCTTCCCCCCCCCCAAAAGCTCAATAACTGTGGTCAATCCAATGGATAGATCATTGCCTGTGTTGTTTTTTTAATATATAGTGGGAGTAGTTCGCAGTCTCTTGGAAATTGGACGTGCCTGCTATATGGTTTTTAAATGTACATTTGCAGACATATCACAGGTTGGGCTCCAAACTCCGTGGAACTATTCAAGATTTTAAATTTGTAATGTTTTATAATGTTTTCAGTTATAAAATGCAAATATGCATTCCTCCAGAAAACAATAAAGTTGTGGTACATTTTTACAGTAACTGCAGGTGATTTGAGAGACAGCTTGACCACCACAACATCCTCAAAAGGACCCACTTAACAGGTCCCTGCTAAAGTTGAAATTCCTTTATTCATCAAGCTGGCCCTCAAAGTGACCAGTTTGTCCACCCAGAATGCCTCAGAGTTCCCCTGGCTGGAAAATTCAACAGTAGGACATGGAAGCAGCACTCGCTTGCAAACCGCAGCAATTAATTACAAGGTCCATGGACGAAAGCGTGCCCTCCCTTGACCTGGGGGGGAAATGATCACACGCTGCTGCTTTTGTACGAGCAAAAATTACACCTCAATTACCAGGCTCGTGTTAATGGTTAAGCTAGTTGCTCCAAAAGGCATTCGCCTACAAGGGGCCTCGCTGGGTTACCAAACTCCCTGATCGCTCATCTCATTATGGGAGAAATCTGAGGCTGTGCAGGATTGTCACGCCATGCTGCAAACAATCTCCAAAAATGGCTACGACTTGGTAGAAATTACTGAAACAACCTGTTTGCTTGAAGACTGCAGGTTGGGTGCAGAATGGGAAGGATGCAAGGGTTCAGAGGTGGTGAGGTGGTGAGGATGAGGTACAGAACGGATAGCAAGGCTACACTTTCAAGCAGGAGTGAGGACCCTCTTTCATACAGAGGGCCACCTTCTCTTCTGGGGGACTTTCCAGGGGCTGCATGCCAGAGCTAGTCAGGGCAGAGGGGAAAGTGAGTGGAGCAATGGATGCAATTTGACCTTTGTACCATAGGCTAGTTTTACAAGCACTTGGGCATCCCTTTCTATCCTCTATCCAGGGAAGCAAGAGGCATTATCAAAGTTCAAGCCAGACAAAATACCCAAGGAGGTGTGAAGGGTGTGGGTTGGGAAGAGTCCTGATAGTTAACAGAGGCATCTCTGCTTTTAAGAACCTAAAAAGTACCCTATGGACAGGTGTGCATGTTGCATATATATTTAGGTTAACCCAGAGAGCAGGAACTTGAAAATGTCAGTGTCCGGGGGGGGGCACACAAATACAATATAAAAACTAGGCCAGCAGCCTATTTCTATCATTCAGTGCCACACTTAGTAAACAACAGGATTCTGGAAAATTTGCATCTGCCGCCCCAAAGGAAATCCACACAGTAGCTGCCTTTAGAGGCCACTGGAGATCTCACCACTTCCGCACCTGCCACTGGAGTAAATGCGTAACCCCCGGGATGCAAAAACGAAGCCATTTTACTTTGAGTGAGAAGAAGAAGAAAACAGATGTTTGCCTTAGTGGAGCTGCGAAACTCACAGATGTGCTATTAATCAGGAAAGCAGCATCAGAACCTTTCTATTGACTTTATTGTCCCCATTATCCTTCATTTATTGAGAGCGAAGATGAAGGAAAATGTTCTCTTTTGAAGAGAAAACACTTTACAAGTCCTGCCGCCGCCGCTGCCACCACCATCTCCTTAAAAATGCACAGCCTGCAGGTTGCAGGAGCGTTCCAAGCAAAGGATGATAGGCATACATAATAACCCCCGTGAAGTGCCTCGTGCCACAGAGGCTGCAAGTGGGACGAACTTTGCTAAACACTTCAACTACACGCTAAGCTTTCCAGAGTTAGAACCTTCCTTTCTGAAATTAACAAAATTAATTTACATTTTAAATAAGCTTTGATGCTGGAGCCAGCTTCTTAAAAGCCACTTTAAGGAGAACTAACTGCTGAACTACAAGCACCCTAGGCTAAGAAAACAAAATCTGCATAAAAATCCCAGCACCTGGAGAGTGTGCGTTCCGATGGGTGGTTTTATCGCTAGCAGGAAAAGGAGGGTGGGGGGGTGGGGGGGAAAGCCTCTCTTCTTGCAGAAACCCTTCTGTGGAAACTTAAATCTAGCCCGTTTCCAAAACTGAATCCTTAAATGTGATTCCTTGAAGCCAAGGGCACCTCAGCACGGTTTGCAAAAAGAACCAAATGTATTCGATTGTCATGCTTGCTTCTTGCAACATGGCACAGCGTTCTCCCCCAGGGAAATCCTAGCTACTCTAAAGCAGGACCCAGGGAACTTCTGAATGTGGCCTCCAAGGCCTCTTTATCTGGCCCTCAGGGCTCTACTGAGGCCACACCCATCACGGGCTGTGCTTCATACTCCCCTTGAGTGCTTTTGCCTGGCTGGGATGTATCCTTGAGTGGCAATGATGTCTCTTGCTTGTATGGATGGAGGCTGCATAGACTGTCGGGACAGGCAGGTGAATTGAGTGCAGAAGCCCTTAAATTTTTGCATGGCTGGAATGTAGCCTTACTGGACAAAGGTAAGGGTCACTCCCCTTGCATGTAGACCCCAGGAAGTTCCCCACCCCTGCTCTAAAGTAAGCACTTTGTGACTGAACTGAGAGGGAGGGGAGACAAGAGCCCAAACCATAATGGATTTGGAGCACTGCCTACTGAGCGAGTACAGTGCAGAAATCGAAAGGAACTTA